AAAATTGTGGGAGAACTGTGCCTGGAACACATTATTTAGTGCTGCTTAGGAGAGTTCTGAACAGCTACAAACATTTTAACGTGTACCATGTTTCAAATGTTTGTAATTTATATTCTCCCCTTAAACTAAGAGCTTAGGTTTTACAACCATACAAGCAAAATAATAAAAATATATTGTCAAATATATCTCCATCTACAGTGTACTGAAAAAATACAGGACGATGATAATTTCTGAAATGAATAGTAAGCATTACCTAAATCTATTATTTTCCTAATATCATCACAAACGTAATCTTTAATCTGTACAACATGCAGTGTTGGTTATAAAACTATTGCAATGAAGTATGCTTACCTCAAACAAAGCCTCGGACAGACGGACCTAACAGGACCGAATGGAAGAGGAGAATTGAGGAGGCCATGGACCGAATACGGACCGGAGAGCCATAGAAGAAGAAGAAGAAGAATGAAGTATGCTTACATTATTTTGTACCAGTCCAACCCCTCCATAAGGAAGCAATGCTTGCTGCAGCACTGGTTACTAGTCCCCCTGCCATACTTGTCGCCTGCTGTGTGCTTGTGAAGTTCTGTTGTGACATCTGGCTTGGACCAGGGACACTCTCTGGGCATGAAACATGGGGAACCTATAACATAATAAACAGTTCTGTTAGCTATTTTCTTATTCAGCGTCACAAATTATCACAAGGATCTTGATGTATTGCAATTTCAGACATTTTATAATAGATGTCTCTGTTTCTTTAATCATCGTCTGAATGTAGTTAATTTAAACATTCAGTAGCTCAGACTAATCATATCAAAACAAAACACATAGAGAGGGACAGATAAAAATACACATCTTAGGGTCGTGAAAATTATTAGTAAGAAGTAGAAGACAGCAGTTTTATGGTTATAATTCAAACTGCAAATCCCTGAATCACTTTTGATAGCATTACAAAGTCAATGGTTATAATAATTTAAGTATAACACAATTATTCCATGATTACAATCATTTATGCATAACAAGACAATGTCATAAAAGTTTTCCTATTACTATAATAATATGATTACCTGTCAGCCTCTCTGTAGAGATGGAAGCATTTAAAGGACAGCAGGCAGAATAAATTCTTTGGAGAACTTTTTGTTTTAAATATGTATTAAACCTGATTAGAAGTTTACTCACAGCTTCCCATTCCAAGGGCAAAGTGTCACTTTCATCTTCTGACCCAGAATCTTCTCCTAATTCCAAATCACGTGCTAACTGATCCTCTAAAGATTTTGCCAACACAGGGTTCACCTCCAATGGACCTTGTCTGCAAAATAATTATAAAGAATTACCTATGTTCATTACAGCACATATGTTAAATTCCTGCCTAATGGCCTAAATTTATTATTTTATTAAAGTATTTATAACCCAACACAATGGCAGGAGAACCCACAAGTTCAATACCACTAACACAACCCGCCTCGGACACCAATTTTCAATGTATCTCATAAATGATATTTTTGTCTGGGAGAAAGGATTATATTCCATTCCTTTTTCAGAAAGTCGTGGCCTCACAGTCCAAGAGGAAGGATGAACTACAATAATCCTATAGAAATCACATTTCTCTCCTTTCTTCTGTCCCGAAACAGTAAATAATGCCAAAAAATTCTGGAATCACTTGTTTTTTGGCCACAGGGAACATCCTGCTCCAATTACTGAAGTGGTTTATTCTAGTCGGGACTTTTAAAATTATTTTAAATTTATCTGGGCACAGTCCTTTAACAGCCATCACTATGAACTCATTAACAATTCTAAAATGAAGATGGTTGTCTTGTGGGTTGTAGTGCTGTGTAGTCTGGTAGAAGTTTACACATATTTCAAATGTACATGTACCCTCATCATCAAGGCCTAATAATGCAGGCAGCTGAAAAAAAAATCACCATACAGGAGACTGCTAAACCATATAACCCACAGATCCCGTTAGGCTAACAGCTCTCACCGGAGCCACATTCTTTTTGATACGGTGCTTATTTCACAAATTTCTCTTCGTGTATTTGTAGTTTACTTAACAATGCTGTAAGTAGCCCAGATTAAAAAACACTGAATAATGATTAATGGATTGGAAAGAGTACGAAAAGTAGTTGCGCACCACTTATTACAAGGCACTATCTGGCATTTACCTGGATAAAGTTAGAAAAATATGAAAAACTTCAGTCAGAATAGCTAACCACTCAACTGCAACATCCAGTTTTAACCAAACACAAGCTAAATTATACATTCCTGCATTACTTACCTAGCTTAATCAAGGCATATAATTTAATGCTCATTTCTGCAAACTTGAGCACAAAACAGGTAAGGTGACAAATTAAACTGAATAATAATAATAATAATAATCCGTGGTGTAACAGCCCTCTGAGAGCCAAAGCCGACTAGCTGGCTGCTGGCCTCACGTTCACATGCCTAAGCAGAAGTGAACGATCATCCAACCAGATATAGGGTGACGTGTGGTCAGCACGACGAACCCCCAGGCATGCTAGTTTTCTTGACCGGATTACGCTACTTAATGTAGCTGCCCAATTTCCTCATGATGCTGGGTTGGCACCGGTCCCATACACCGGTCGAAAGCTCATGAGAAAATTTCTTCTCCCCCGAGACTCGAACCAGCGCGCATTCCGTATCACCGGTCTGAAGCATGATGCCTCAGACCACATGGCTACGGGGCGGGACAATTAAACTGAATAGTATCTATAATAAATTAAAATCAGGACTATAAAGGAACACAAATTCATGTGAAACGCATATGTAAACGTTATCGCTCTACTGGAACACATATTTCCACTTTTGTTCACTTTGAGAAATTAAATACCTTCCGAGATCACTAACTTCGGTGTTGAGCAAGAGAAGGATGTTGTGCAGAGTGCGTGCTGGATGCAGCAACTCGGGATTAACATTCTGGGTGTAGCAAAGATGCAAAACATTGGAATTGAGCTTCGCAACTCTGTGAGCAAACTGCGTATCTGTCATTTCATGGCCACAGAAATCACTGAAACAAGAAAGAAAATATTTTACCTCTATTATAAAGGTAGCAGTATTTATGTTTCATCCACCCAATCTGAAATATTCTCTTACTAAAGAACTGCACATTTTTTGGATACATTACAGAAGTATTATTACAGTGCAGCTAAATGTATTTAAAAAAATTTAACCTTGACAATTTAAAAATAAAATAAGTCATTCTGCTTCTATGCACATATATCTAATGCAAACTGAGACCTTATTCATGAATATTCACTTATACTGCTAACTAAAAGTAATAATTTTTTTTAATTATTTATTTAATCTTGATTTACTGTCAACTGCTAAGTAAAGAGTAGCTAATGAAGACTATGAATGATTAATTACATAGACGCCAGAAAGACCCAAACCTAGTTTAAGGTATTACCCTAGCACTTATATCAAGGGAGTAAGAAAAACCACATTTCCAGTCAAAATAGCCAATACTCAGGTCAAGATTTGCCATGAAACATCCCAAATACAGGCAGCAGTGCCAATTATCCGTAATTTGTCAGTAAGATCTAAAAATTGGCAAAATATGTACAAAATTCTGAAAATTTTCAACTCTTCATTTCTAACCTTTTTCATTACTAAAATACTACACATGAATATCCATGTTAACACCGTCCATCTTTATGTTGCAGGAGGGAAAACCCACCAGTTTAATGTTTCTCTCAAGTCTGCAATACCTGTAACACAGCTTGTTAGGCAGCCGAACATCTAAGTAGAACGCAAGCACATTGACAAGCTGAGTGGTGTAGGTTAATGCAGCACTGATGTTGTACGCTGGGTTGTGCTCCATGCCCTCACTATTTCCCCCAGGAACACCATCCTTGTTAGCAGCCACTGGCAGAAAACACAGAAACTCATTAAAATGACACTTCAAACCTAAACTACAACTGAAAAATAAGACTAAGTAAATGTAATATGCACTTTCCACTAGAACTGTGTTTATGCAACATATTGAAAGGCTTACAACCATTTCCAGATCTTCTTGGTTATGACTGTCACAGCAACAAGACCGAAAGACCACAATCCAAATAAATTACAACGTTTGAAAACAAAGCACTCAAATATACAGATGAAAAAGGATTAGTGAGAAATTCAGATTATTACAAGTATACAAGGAACTGCGGTTTATGTAACTTAATAAATTTGTTGAGACGAGGACTAAGCAACTCTGGTACTAACTCCCAATAAAAAGGAGGCAAATAATTATTAAGTTCTGCCCAACTGTACTGTGCAAGCTAAAAACATCAATAAGATTGTAAGATTTGAGGTTTTCACAGCAGTGAGTATGAAGATTTCTGTCTTCTGGGTTGTTGCACTGTGTAGTCTGGTCGATGCTAACCAACGTTTCATTGCCCTGATGACGGAGGCAGTATGACCTCTGAAACGTTGGTTAACATCGACCAGACTACACAGCGCAACAACTCAGAAGACAGAAATCTTTATCAATAAGATTTTTTGAAAATTCTTGCTGAAACTCAATATTTTTCTGAAGGAACAGCAGAATTATCAAGGTTGATCAATTTTCTAAACCGCTTGTGAAGTCATCACTTTGCTGGAAGACAGCAGATTGAGCATACAGTTTAAATGAACGAGACAAGCAATGCACACTACATGGAACACTGTGACAAAGATTACTGATGTATTAAAATAGTGGACTCCATTTTAAGTGCATATCTTCCAGGCTGTACTACTTTTCAACAGTGGGCATATATAAACAAGGACCTTTCAGAAATCACAATGACTTGCTTACCCCACACATTATAGGCAGAATAATCCCCTGAATCAGGTAAAGAGGGTGCCACAATGCAGTGCTGTAACTGGCCAGAACTATCGGTGAACACCCAACGGCCACGAATATAGGCGGTGCGGGTTGCATCTGCCAGAGCAGTAACAGTATCTCTAGGCTGCTCACAGTCTTCATCGCTGCCAACATTCAACTACTGCTAAATTAAGTAATTCTAAACAAGTATATTTCAAAATGTGAAATGAAGAAAAAAATATAGCCCGACTACTGTGTGAACCTCAGGTACACATCATAAAAGCTAACAAGGCACATTATAGGTACAAAAATACAGACATAAATAATACCTGTCATCAGACATAGTTAACAACACATATTATTCAAATATATATTTATTATTCAAGTCTATACACAAA